GTCTCTATATATATATATATATATATATATATATATATACGCCCGTCTTCCCAGCCCTTTTTTCCCCCTGCGCTACAGCTCCTCGTTTAACGGTTCATCGGATCGAATTGCGTTGCACATGCTGGGGCGTTCCTTTTTTAAAGGCAGCAGCACCACCACCAACCACCGCCATCACCAATACCACCGCAACGACAAAACAAACTACAACAAAAAGACAAAGGAGAGGAGGGAAAAAATAAAGCTAAAGCTAAAACAGAAAAAGAAGAAGTAGGCCAATGATTTTTCTCATCGTGAACGCGGTGCTCTCCGCCATTTTTTTCCTCGTTGTTGTGCTGCCGCTCCTGTACATCTACAACCCCGACAAGTACCCAGGGGAGGCCAACACGCCACCGAGTGCGGGGGAGGTCATCCCCGATGAGGACATCACGCACGCCGTGAAGCAGAAGTTGTATCTTCTCTTCATCATCCCCACCTGCGCCGCCGCCAACGCGATCTTTCTGTACTTTGCGTACTACCGTCCTCTCCGCTTCATTCACTATCGCGTGGAGCTCAACTTGCTGACGCTGCGCCTGACCCTCGATGCGGGCCGGCAGCAGCTGCAGAAGAGCGGCATGCTGAGTGCGCCGCACAGGGCAGGCAGCATGGTGCCCAACTTCTCCGTGACGATGAATAGCAACAGCAGCATGATTTCGCGCAACTACGCAAAGGGGCCCGGCCGGAGTCTCGTCTTCGACGGCAACGAGAGCTCGCGACAGAAGTTAGCCTCCTCGGTGAACTGGGAGTGGCGTCGACACGCCAGACCGAAGAACGTGCGCCGCGACACCTGGGTGAACTCGGCGGTCTTCGCCGAAATCAGCGAGCTGCGCGATGAGGTGGAGCAGCACTTTTTGCTGGAGAGCAGCGTGGCCGACGCGAACTTCGCCAAGGCGATGAAGACGGTGGGGGCCTTCCTGCCGGCGACCACCTCCACGATGGTGCTGGAGAGCGCAGCGCAGATGTCGAAGTCGGAGGCGGCGCAGAAGAACTTCTACAACTCCAGTCGTCCGCCGCTCATGGTGCTCGGAGCACGCACGGGCGCGTCCGAACGGAGAAGTAACAAGACCAACATCAACAGCAACAATAATGATGCCGCCAACGGCGACGGCGTTGGCATGCGCGGCGTACCGGGAGAGCGCGAGCCGATCACGCCGCAGCGCAACGACTCGGTTGTGATGGTGCCAATGGAGAGCAACCACCGTAGAGGCGGCGGGAATAGCAGTAATATGAATAATGGAAATAGTAGAGCCGGCTCCGCGCTCCGACTTTTCCGCGGTCGCCGTAAAAGCGCGGCCGGCAGCCGGGGCAGCCAGACCAATTCGGAGAATCGAGGGGAGCAGATGATGACCTCACCGGTGCGACGCGGTGCATTTGAGCCGGTGGAAGTGGGTGGCATGTCACCATTGGAGCCGCCGAATGAGGAGACGGCGGTGCGGCACACGGCGAGCCGCAACGGCGACGTCGCGCGAGGTGAGAGCGATGGGACCAGCCCGGGCCGGCAAAGCATGTGGCGGCGGCTATGGCACTGACCCGAAAGCGAGGCATCACAATGATTTGCTACTCGAGTGGTGCGTGTGCTTCTTTGCTGAGGATAAACGCTAAGGATTATTGGGTGCCGGTTTTTTCCTTTTGTGGTGTACAAATGCGTGCTGTTGCGGTGGGCGTTGATGCTATCCCAGAGTGACACTTTAATATATATATTCTTCTTCTCTGCCCAAGTGGATTTTTTGAAACTACTCTGTATCGTCGCATCCACATCAGTTGTTCCTCTTTCTCTTCCTCTCTTTTTGTTTTATTTATTTTCTCGAATATTTCTTTCATCTCTGTTCTCTGAATGCGAAGCCATAGGTGGCGTGCGGGGGGAACACCACGCGGCACACACAATCGCAGGTGCAAAGCCCGCTTGGCTGATGCTGAGGTGTCCGCTACGAAGAGGGTTGATCTGTGCGCATTGCACTGCCTTCTACATGATGATGATGGTGATGGTGATGATGATGTCTCTTGATGGGATTCTTTCATTCTCCCAGATAAGAGTCTCTGTGTTGCGGAGGAGCAGCGTTTGGTGTGTAGGCGCAACCTGATGTGCACTGCTATCCCTGTCATATCTGTGTGAGAGTAGGGTGTGTGTGTGTGTGTGTGTGTTGTTCTCCTCCATTTGTTGTTTTTCACATCGATATCTCTTTTTTACATTGACCGAATTGTTGTGCTCAGCTCTCTCCCCGCAAACGGTAGCGTTCCCCTGCCTTCTCCTTTTTCTTTCTTTTTCGTTTCTTCCGGTTCTTCGTCTCATCACTTGTACCTTTATCTGTCGCTTTTCCGTGAGCAGCTGCAATCGTACGCAAACGGTCATCTCTACGGAAACTAAAGAAAATAATAATCATCATAAAAAGAACAAGCAGAGCGTGAGCATGGTTCATGAAGCGCACGTTGAGTCGTGTGTGCCGTATAAAACGGCTACGCGCGAAGTGCTCGTTTTCCCTCTTCAGGGAATTTGTTCTTTTAAATCTTGAGGAACACCGAAATACTCCGTCCAACTCGTGTCGCCTCGAGGAGAGCGCTGTTAGGTGATAGAAAACGGAGGAATAGCGATTGCCCAATGTTGGTGCTCCCACTCCTTACTGACTGGCACCGTTACCATCTCCTTCACCTGCTCATTTCTTTCGCTCTGCTGCACAAGCATGAACTGTCTGTGCCTCTTCTCTTCTCTGTTTCATCTCGCTACAACAAGGAAAAAAAAACTCAGCAGCAACTTCCATGCACGGACAGGCGCTCACGCAACAGCACCAGCAATCAAAAAGAAAACGTTTGTATGACCAAATGTGTATACGAACTCTGTGTTGATATCGTCGATCTTTCTCTCTCTTTTTGTTTGTATGTGTGTGGACGATTCCCAAATCGACACGCACGCCGACGAACACAAACATACGCAAATTAAATTTATTCGGGTGTGTGTGTGTGTGTTGTCTTTGCCTCTGCGAGCCCACGTGAGACGTGCTGTGACGCTTGTCTTGTGGTACTCTCTCCTTCCCGCACACGCGCCAGAACGTTGCGGCTGAGGAACGTCCTTTTCTTGTTGCCGCACTTATCTGTTTTCTCTCTCTTTCTTTGACTTACTGCTCTGTGTGCTTTCGTTTTTTTTTTCGGAAAGGATTTATTGCAGTGCATCGCTACTGCTGCTGCCTTTCTCCTTCCCTATTTTTCAGTACATGTGTGTGCGTGCGTGTGTGGGTGGGTGTGCATTTCTCTGAGCACCTCCACACCTGACAACGGCACCACCGCGCAACTACTGCGCCTTTTTTTTGTTTGGTTGGTTGGTTATTCGACGACGTTCAAGTAGAGAGGACACAGAAGAAAGGAGCGGGCGCAATGAAGCGCTGGGCGCTGGCCGCAAAGGCGAGGGAAGAGGACAAATCGAATGAGTCGGCGGCGAATGCCATGGCGGAGGGCAAACCGGAGAAGCCCGTTGTAGTCAAGGTGCCGCCGCGGCCTCTCCTCGACGTCGCCATTACACTGGAGCGCTTCAACCCAAACTTCTGCGTCACCACCTGCTCCATCGTTATCATCGCGATGGTGATGGGCAGCTGCTTCGTCGTGCTAGGGATTCCACCCCTCTTCCTCGACGACTGGAAAGGCAAGCGCATCTACGTCGGCATCATGGTGCCCCTCCTCACCCTCCTCTGCACCGTGCTTCTCTACTACGTCATGCAGCAGCCGCAGCGGACGTTTAACACGGCGCTGATGAGGATGGTGCGAGACATGGAGCACCACTCCAACTACCTCAGCACCGCCGTCGACCACGTTGAAAGGGAGCTCAACGCGCGCGGCGTCAACATCGGCGCGATGGCAAACTCGTCCTCGTTCGGTGGGCGCCCGCGCGGCAATCTGGCGACGCCCGATGAGTCCTCGCTGCAGCAGCCGCAGCCGCAACAGCAACGGGCGCAGCAAACCGGCGGCGGAGCGGGGACCTCCCCGCAGACGGCAACGCTCCACAGCAGGGGCAGCTTCGGCGCCGCCACGGGGGGCTCCGACTTCCTGCGCGGCATCGACAGCCTAGAGGAGAGCCACGACATGGTGATCGCCACTGTGCACGTAGGGAAGGAGTGGAAGTGGTTTAAGGATGTTCTCGGGCAGCTGAAGGATACAACACTGGGCGGGCCGACCTTCCCGAGTTTGGCCTACCAGCGGGTGATGGTGCGGATGCTGAGCACCGCTATCGCACGCGTGGAAAAGCTGATCTTGTCCCTCTACTTTTCTTCCTTCTTGCTGCACCGCGTTAACGCCATCGCCCCGCTGAACCTGTGGGGGGCGTCGGCGGCCTCCGTCGGGACGGCGGATTGGAATCGCGGCGACATGCACTCCCGCGCGGAGGCGGCGCTGATGAAGAGTGCGATGGCGCACCCTTCCGGCAACAACGTGTCGACCCCGCATCGACGTCAGCTGAGGCTTCCCGGCGACGCTGGTGAGTCGCCCACGGAAAGCACCTTCACCTTGGGCAACATGCACCTCAGAGACAGCGAGGCAGCCGATTTAGAGAGTCCCGTCTTCTCCGCTGCCGGCGCGCTCGACGTGCGCCACGATGAGGAGACGCACACGGAGCTGACGCCGCCGAGTCAACAAAAAGGTTTTACGCTCGGCTCCAACGTGATGCTTCCACAGTTTACACCGCTGATCGGCAGTGGCGAGATGACGCCGACAGGGAAGCCGCAGCGTCAGGGAGGATCGCCAACGACGGCGGTAGCACCTGCAACAACAAAGGATGCAGCAGGGAAAAGGGAAGCGCCGATGGCGGTGGGCGCGGCGGCTCCTGCGGCCTTTGACAGCAAGAACTCCCGGCACTCCGACTCGACCATGGCGGCTGCTCCGTTTCAGCTCTCCACCACCAAGGCCGACGTCGCAGCGAATCACGTTGCGCCGAGCGACCACCACCCCCCGCGCTCCGCATCGGACGAGGACATCCTCGTAGACGTCGACGTGGAAGGGGAGTCGGTGCCGCTGGCAAGGATGCGCCGCAGTCGTCAAGCTGCTACGAAGGGTGGCGACGGCAACAACGTCAAGGGAGGCGGGCTGTTGGCGCCTCGTCCTGCCGTTTCTGCCCAGCAGCCGCAGCGTCCGCATCACGTGGATGCAACACCGAATAAACAGCATCCACAGCAGCAGCAGCAGCTCGCGGCATTTGACCTGGCGGACTCACCGTTTCCTCTCGGCTCGCCATCCGCCTCCCCACCGCCGGTGAAACCACCTCTGCCGCCGTCACCGTCGTCGCAGCACCCACCGCCGCCGCAGGTGACGGGGCGCCACCATACTCGTCAGCCTGGCTCGGCCGTCGTGCCCAACCCGTCGCTTACGCTGCATCGCGGAGCGCGGTTCGTGCACGACGAAGACACCTTTTTTATCACCATCCTCGTGCATGTGCGGAAGGCGCGGCTGACCTGCTTTTCACGCCTCTACGCCGCGCAGGCACACGTCAAAGACGATGGGAAGGAACGGAAGCACTACTTTTCGAAGACGGATGACGCGGGTGGGGGGCGAAAGGGCGGAGGCGGTGGCGGCAGCAGCAGCGGCGGTCCTTTTACGCTCTTTCACATTTCGGATGTGGCCGGCGAGCGGGAGGGGCTGACGCTGCAGGAGCAGCGACTGCTGAGCGTGGCGTACTGCAGACCTGAAAACCACCCCGAAAGGGGCTCCGACGGACGCCGGCAACCCACCGACCTCTCCTCCTTGGCCGTCAAAGACAGGCAGGGCAGCGGGGGATCATTGCCGGGAACGGAGGAGACGCCTAGTCCGCCCAACGGTCTGTCAGAGCGCCACGTCACGTCCGTTTATGCAGAGGAAGTGGATTCCTTCATCGTCGCCTTGACGCTCTTGGCCGATCGACCAATGCGGCTCACTTTCCTGCCGACGCACATCGAGACGGTGGCGCACAAAGACCAGTCCTCCACCGTGAGCTCCAGCTTGACCTCCCTCTCACCGAAAGCGGCACGAGGAGCCGCGTCGAACCAGCGACATGGGGCAACAGCTGCGGCGGGCGCGATAAACCCTGAGCAGGACGGCCTCATTCCGCCGCTGAGGACGGTGCCGGTGCTGGAGTGTGTGATTGATGACGTGTTGTGTGTCCTGACGCGGGTGGAGGTGATGGTCGACTCGGCGTTCGAGACGCCGTCGAGAATTCTACTTGTCGGCGTGTCGCTGGAGGATGTCTCGGAAGGCTCGGAGAGGGGCGTGGGGGATGATGATCTGGATAGCCTGGAAGAGACGCACAGGACGAGAAAGCCGGCGCAGTCGAGTCCGGACAACTCACCGAACGATCGCCACGGAAGCAGCATGGCGACCTCGCGCACGCAGACGTTGGAGGGACTCACGCCCGGGACGACGGCGGCGGGCTACGTGCACACGTGTACGGTGGGTCAGGAGTTCCACGAGGTCATCACCGTGGAGGCGGACTCCGTCTCTGAAGAGCCTTCGCCGCCGTCTCCGTAGCCCCCTCTTTTTCAAGAGTCTCGTGTACATCGAAGTATAGAACGTTGGTTTTTCCTCATCGTTATTTTTTTTCCCGTGTGCGTGTTTGTGTGGTGGTTTTTGGGGTTCGTCTTGCCGCTCCGCTACGTGGTTGTGCAGGTTCTCTTTCTTGTGGCTCTTCCGGTCTCACTCAGCCCTTCCGCAAAAAACAGTAGTAACATTTGTTTTCAAAACAAACCTCTCTCTCTCTCTACGTAGACGTGTGTATGTTGACGCATTCACTGCAGCCCCCAAGAGAAGCGCCAGAAGACAACAACAATTATTTATTTCCGAACGTTCGTCCGTCTTCTGTGCTGACTTCTGCTCAGCGTTGGTGATCCGTTGGGGAGTGCGTGTTGGCTGCCTGATTGCGGTGAAACCTTCGTGGATGCGTGCGTGTCTTTCCCCCCTTTTCCATTTCATGCCACTGGAGACACACAACGGCCAGCTGGCACTTGCTTCCCGCGTGCTCATGACCCCCTGACATCCTGCCGTTTCTCTCTTTCTCCCTTCTCATCACGAAATTGCGTCCGCTGTACATTGCAGTCTTCATTCTTCTCTTTAAAACAAAATACCAGAATAGCGGAACTTTGTGTTTCTGCTCCGATCTTCTGTGTGTGTACGCGTTTATGTGAGGTATACAAGTTCAGACAATTTGAGCGGCCTGCTTGTCGCCACGATGCGTACCTCTCCTTCTTTCGGCTGCCACTTACAAATGGGCAGCGCACAACGTGCATTTCACGCTGTCGTTGTCGCGACGCTGCTCGTGCTCCTGTGCACCGCCGCTGGCCTTGCATCCGCTGCGCCGTCCTCGCGCCCCTTCCGCTGCCTCCGCCCCTTCTCGGCGATGGACTCCTTCGTCGCCGTGGCGAAGGCGGACGCCACGGACAACTGCATGTTTCACTACTTCACCGTAACAGCCGCCGCGGCTGAGCTGCGCTGTGCGACGACCGCAGACAGGGGGACACCGCCATTGTCTTCGCAAGCCGGCGAGAAGGCGGCGGCGACCTCGTGCAATGTGACGGTGCGGTGGTCGATGCGTCGGGCAGACGACGTGGCGGCGGTGCTGCGGCGCCAAATCGGCACCGACGCGGACTACTTCGCGGCCAACACGGCGGAGCTGTCTGCGTCAAGCGCACGCACGGCGCAGCACTCGCCTCAGCAGCAGCAACAAAAGAAGAGGTCGAGGGCGCCCACGGAGCTCTTCCTCACCGAGGACGAGGACGTCTGGCGCTACGCCGTCTCCCTATGCGCCAAGGGCGACTCCACGGTACAGTACAAGGGGTACAACGGCGGGGACGGCTACAGTATGTGCTGCGACGGCATCGTCGAAGGCGAGTGTGCGTGGATGGCGGCGGAGCAGGGCGACAACGATTTAGCGGCGGATGAGGAGGTGAACCCCGATTTTGCGCTGCAGCACCGCCGGATGCTGCGGGGATGTCCGCTGCCCTTTCCCGCGACGATGCCGCCGACAGCCGCTGCGGAGGAGGCGGATGACAATGAAGCGGACGGCGCGTTTGGTGCCGCGCCCGGGGCTCGTGTCGCGCTGACGGACCTGGACGAAGAGGACGCGGCGGAGGGCAGGGAGGAGGGCGTCTTCCACGGCCAAATCACAAAGCCGCTGCATCGGCTGGTGGAGGGGCCGTGGGAGGTCACCCTGCAGATGTGGCGACGTCGGCAGCGACGGCCCACGCACGCGGCGGCGACTCCCTCCTCCTCGTCCGTGCCGACGGATTCCAGCGCCGAGGCCGAGGTACTCGGTCGCGTCGTCGTGCCCTTCACGGTTCACCTAGCGGAGCTGCAGCGGGAGGGCCGTGTG